CTTCCCCCCCCCCCCCCCCCCCTTCCAACAGTCATGCAGCACATCATCCAGGTCCTCACCACATCATCCGTCACGGGGTCGCGGAAGATGCCGTGGGTGTCCTTCTTCTGCACGCGAGACAGGATCTTCTCCAGCGCCTCCCTGCGCGGCACGCCGTCGCCAACCTCGCCGCCCGCGCCCCGCGCCGGCCCGCTGCCCGCGGTGTCGGCGCCGTCGCCGGCCTCGCCGTGCGGGCCGGTGGCAGTGGGCCCGCCCCTGGACGCCGCGCCGAGGGCGGCCACGGAGTCGGCGGGCGAGGCGCCGCCGCCGCCCAGCCCGCTGCTGGTGGCCGCCGAGGCGGCGGCCATGGTGCTCCGCAGGTTGAACGTGCGCAGCGGCTCCAGCGAGCCGGGGGTCCCCGCCAGGGCCACGGAGCCGACAGCAAAGTCGTCATCGTCATCGTCGTCGCTGCGCGGCAGGGGGGGTGATGGGTTTGGTACACGACTGAGCTGCTGGGCAGGGACCATGGAGATGAGAGGGGTCATCATGTTTGACTTGATCCTGCACCCACCGACCACTTCCATCCCTCTCCGCACCCCCACCTGCCGTGGCGCTTGCGGGAGCGGGACCCCGGCGGGCGGCCCCTGCGCGGCCGGGGCTGCGGCGCGGTCGCCGGCTCGGCCTCCAGGCCGGCACTGGCCGGCTTGGCGACGGTGAAGCGGACGATGGGGAGGGAGCTGGGTGCCCGCTGGATGGGGCCTGCGGGGCTGGGGAATGCGGCGGGGGTGGCGGGCGAGGCGGATGCGTTCAGCGCCCGCGCCCTCGCCGCCGACGCCGCCTGCTGCTGCGGCCTGACCGAGGCCGTGCCCGGTCGCGGTGAGGGCCGGGAGGGCCCGGGCCCCAGGGCCGACGGCGTGTGCAGACCATGTGTGCTGAGCTTGATCCGCTTGGGGGTGGGCTGGCCGGGGGAGGGGCGGTGGTCGGGGGGGCGTGGGCCGGTCAGGCGGGACGGCTTCGGCTTGGGCCGAGGCTGCTGCACGGGCGTGTGGGCCGGGCCGGTCCCCGGCACCTTGATCTTGAAGCGGAACCCGGGGGTGCTGCCTGCCGTGCCCGGGGAGGGGCTGACGTCGTCCGTTGGTCGCGGCGTGGCCTCGTTTGCCGGCTGGGGGTCCACCCCAGGGGTGGGCCCGGGGCTCGACCCATGCGCAAGCGGATCTAGCGGGGGCTGGGTGGGTGGGCGAGGGGTTGTGGAACCTTCGGGAGCCTTGCCAAGGGTGATCTTGAACTTGAAGGCACCTGACATTGGCCCTGCCCCGGGTCAGCGCATGGTCGCAGGAAGATCCAGCGAGGCATATCTCGACGCTGTGCGTGGAGGGTGCGCGCGGGGAGGGAGGGGTGTCGCCCTCTTTCCACAGCCATTCCCTGGCCCGGCGCGCGGGAACGCTTCCGGGAGGTTTCCGCGGGAAAGAGGAGCTGGAGATTCACACTGCAGCAGTTCCTCAAATGTCTGTACTGAAGCTGGAAACTCCAGAGGATGCAATAAGGTCTGCAATGCTCCTGTCCCCAGGCCCTGCCCTGCCCCGGCCTTGCTCAGAGCACCTATGCAGGGGACTGCACAGACATTACCATGCATCTACAGGTGCACAGCCACCATGCCTCATTGATACCCACCCGGCCAGGCAGCCATGGGGTATGTTGTGGGATAGTAGGCCTGCGCAGGACCGGGGTCTGGGGGCAGTGGCGGGAGGCCCTGCATGTTCGCTGCCGGTGCGTACTGCTGGGGCAGGGGCGGATATGGCGCTGGGGGCGCCTGGTACGCCGACGCTGGCTGCTGACTCACATCCCCACCCGGCCCCGCATATGTCTGCGCCGGCGCCCACCCCTGCTCCTGGCTCCCATGCCAATGAAGCGAGGGGTGGGGGGGGTGGCTGAGCATGGGGCCGGCGTGCCCACCAGACATGGAGCCGGCATGCATGCCGTTGCCGGGCGGCCCTGGTGCGGCATACGCGCCGCCGACGGGCCCCGGCGGCACGGGGTAGCTGCTGGATCCGGGACCTGTGTGCGCACTCTGCATGGGGGGCGGGTGCTGGGCCCATTCCTGCCCGACGTACTGCCAGCCGCTGGGTCCGTACCGCCAGGTTCCCTGGTCTGGTGGAGGCGTGCTCGCAGCTGGCCCCCGTTCCGGCATCCAGGAAGGAAGGGGCGGCTGCGTCGGGTTTCCTACAGCCGGGGCCGCACAGTCAGTGCCGCCCTCCCAAGCGCGGGCAGTCCCGGGGCTGACGCGGCCCGGGGTCCCCGTCCGCACTGCGACCCCGGCGCGGCCACATGAGGCATGCGCCACCTGTGACCGGGCGGCGGGCCGCCATCGCTCGGGGTCTGCGCCCTCCGGGATGGGGGCGTTGACCCCAGGGAAAGCCGGCACCTGCAGGGACAGAGCTGCGGCGGGCGCGGGCGCCCCATCGCTCGGGGTCGCCAGGGGGATGAAGTCGTCGCCCTCGGCTCCAGGGCGCTGCAGATTACCTGGCACAGGTGACTGGCTGCGAGTCCCGCCTGCAGGGCTGCTGCGGAGCGCGTCGCCGTTGCACTCAAGCCCGCTCCCCCCTTCAGTCATGCCGTCGCCAGTCGGACCCAGCGCCCCCGACCCTGGATCGTATGCCGGCGGCAGGCCCAGCACCCGCATGCGATGCAGCCAGGGGGGCGGGTCCAGCGCGGACAGGCCCAGCACCCCTCGCAGCTCCGCCGACAGCTGCCCCGGCTGGGCCTCGGGAAACTCCTTGGCCAGGCCAGACTCTTTGCTCGGGCCTGCCGCGCCAGGGCCGCCGCCGGTGCCCCTGCTCTCGGGGGCCCCGGGCAGGAAGTAGCGCCGGGGAGCGGCGCTGTAGCTCCCCGCGCTTGAGGACCTGGCGGGGTATGTGGGGAGCAGCGGTGGTTTTTGCATCAGCGGGGCTTGCAGGTGCAGCGTCAGAGCCTGCAAGGACCCCACAAATTGGAGACCCTGCACACGGTGGCCGCCCCCTCCCTCCTCCCATTGCGCACCCCACCTGGCCTCCCGAGCCGCCTGGACGGCATCGGCATCCATGGGGTGCCAGCACTGCTTCAGGGTGTGGGAGTAGCTGCCGCAGTTGAAGCAGCGCGGTGCGGTGGGGGCCTCGACCGGCGCGGCGGGAGGCACGGCCCCCTCGTCCCCGCGGGCGCCGTCCTGTGCGCCACCCAGTGCTGCGGCAGACCGCTTCTGCCCCGCCAGGCGCAGGGGCCGGCCGGGCGCCCTGTCGTACGCGGGCACCGCCCCGTCTGCGCTCTGGAAGAGAAAGGCAGCACGGTGCGCAATGGAATTGATGCGTGGCGTTTGTGGGACAGCCAGCACAGGAGCAGGGTTATTTCAAGGTGTCAACTGGGGTGCACAACCATGGCGTGGCGCCACCGAGGCGGCATCATTCAGTCAGCGCGGGGGGGGGGGGGGGCCGCCTCGCTGCGCCCCTCCCCCACCCTACCCAGCATGTACCTTCTCGTACTGGATGTTGAACCACAGGGTGTCGACCCCTCGCCGTGCGGGGTCTGCCGGGACATCCTCCACCGCCGGCAGCTGGTCGGCGTCCCTGGGAGCCACCAGCCCCGGGTCGACGGTTAGGGTGCCGGACGTGGTGTCGGGAGGGACGTAGTCCTGGGTGGGGGTTGGAAAGGGCCCGGGCTCGACAGCATGCGCGCGGCCAGTGCTCCTGCGTGGCCCCTCCATTTGAGCAGGGGATCCCCTTTCACCAGACTCAGCCCACGCGGGAACACACCTCGAGGTAGGTGTCCCGGTGCCATCTGGCCCACTCTTTCAGCAGAGCATCCAGCTTCGTCCTGCTGTCACTGCAATCACCGGTAATGGAGGGGGTTGTGGACCAAATCGGTGCACAACCACTGTGCAGAGCACCGACACGCGGCACTGCCCTCATACCTGGGCAGGTTTTGGAAGGTCACAGTGAGTCGTGCAGGTGGGGCAGCGCCCTTTTCGGCATACGATCGACGGGGCCGACGCTCTATCTCCGCCATCCCCGCTCCGGCTTGGGGTGGCAGATGTGGCGACGACGCGGCCTTCTACCCGATCAGGACATTGTGTTGACTCCAGTTCTCAATATAATTAGAACATGTATACTAGTTGGGTATGCTGCTGGCGCTGGGGTGATCGTTCGACATGTCGGAGGGGAGGGGAGGGGGACGGCACTGCTGCCATACTCCACTTTGTCCCCACCCCCCGGAGTTTTAACCCAAACTGCACAGCAATTCCTAGGGAACTGCCGGCGATGGGACCGGCTGCATCAGTGCTTCCATGGCCGTCAGCCATCTACGGATCACTGATATGCACTATTCACCCCACCAGTGGAGCTAGAAAGTGGCAGGACATTTTTTGCATCAGATGAGAAAGGGAAGGTGTTAAGTCTGCTGCTGAGGCACTGGCGCATCTGTGCGATGGGGAGCCTATAAAGGAGCCCTGCATACCCGATGACCCCGCCCGCATGACACACCGCCCATCTCCCTTGGCCAGAATCACACCACAGACCACCAGCTGTCTCCACGCCAAACAACACCCCGCGGTATGCTGGGCAACTCACCCTGTCACTGCTGCTGAATGGGAGGGTGTTGCCCCCTGGTCCCCACAGTTGGAGATAACCCCCGCCCATGGCAAAGCACGCTAGCCTCCGCTGCGGGATGGGAAGGACATTGTTTGGGTCAGAGGCACGATTGTATGGTCAGGCGGCAGGTATGAGTTTCGCCCATCAACCTCCCCCCACTCATCTTTGACTTACTTTCTTGGTAGATTCAAAGTTGCTCCTTCGATGTTGCTCCTCCGATGTTGCTCCTCCGATGTTTGTACTGGGAGTAGGCAGGGGTGCGTTAGGAAGGGTGTGGCAACAGACTAGCAACCTTGCGAGCAGGGGATGGACAGTGCTGACCCGTCATGCGCCCACGTACATCGCAGACCATAGCCAGCTGCCACACCAACACGGGCGACTCACCCGTTCATTATGTTCCGCTGCGGCCAATCAAGGAGAGGGTACGGAAGCAGGATGACACCATCGTCGATCATCGACTGCAAGGCGACGAGATCGGCAGGGGTCGACCCGTCACGAGCGACCAGATCCGAAGGGGGGCGATTCGGAGTCCTGCAAAGTAGGACGAGTACTCGAGGGCTGAAGATCTCGATGGACACCCCACTGGGCAACGGAAGACATGGATATCAGCTACTATGCTATGCAGGGACACTCCAGCACTGCCCATCTGTAATTCAGATGTGCAAGGGCCAATACCACTCACACCACTGCATTTACCTGCCCCATGGATGCAAGAGGTGTTGCGCTGGAAGGGCGTTCCTCCGCATTGCCACTCACGGCGCGCTTCACGCGCCGTCTGGTTTGTCGTGGCTGAGCTGCTTGTCCAACCTCGCTGCATGGGTGAAAGGCAAATGAAAAGGATGGGCTACACATCCCAGTCAATGTCCGTTTGGCTGTTACTCGTTCATTTGCCTACATGTCGAGGTGTAGTCATAGGGATCCTATGACTGAAATCTGCCTTCTGTCTTAAGAATTACCCCCCACCCACCCATACACACGCACACGCACATACACACCTCCCCTGCCCAGCCAGGCGAGCCAAACGCACCTGGGTGGATTTGCAATGGTAGCCTGTACCAGCCGAGCTGTCTGTATGGCACGCTCTACCGCGTCCAGCCGCGTTTCCATGCCAGGGAAATGCATGTAGCGCGTCACGTGCCTGATTTTCGGCAGGCGTGGTGGGCACCCACACGCTTGGCATCGGGCAACTGCCAGACTTCGGCTGCAGTCTCGTGACGTCCCCCCTCCTGAGGATGGAGGGGGTGCAGTAACGGCCTCAGAAATCCCACGCAGGGAATAGGTCTGCAGCTCTCACCCTATCACACATGAAGGCGATCTCCAAATCAAACACACACCGCTTTCGACAACAAAAATGTTCCAGGAACCACGTCACACTCACGGAGGACCGGGGGGCTTGGACGTGTTGGGAAGGTGGGCGAGGATTGGCGAAGATGTCGACGATCGAGCGAGAGATCAAACGCCACGCTCAACCCTGTCGAACAGAGTGGAGAGGTTGTGGTGGTGACCTTCACTACTGCTGCAGGAGTGATAAAGATCCGGGCAATCTGATGGTGGGTTGCCGTCTGCCGGGACCTCGCTGATGGAGCAGCTCGAGACGGACCCCCCCGAACGACGTAGCCTCTTGGGAATGCTCCGGTTCGTCCACCGGGGCACCCGGGACTCACCAAGACATTACAGATGGTTGGGATGGCGGCAAAGAGTGTGCGCGTGGGACACTGTGAGGTATGGGCTTCGGGCATGAGTGCGACCGGAGGAGGGCGCACGGACAGCGCTGGGTCGACACTGTTGCCAAAAGTGGGGTCTTTTTAGTATGACATGGCACTCGGGGGGTACCGATGATAAATCGGTGCAAAGTCGGCCAGAATCTCGCCTTTATTCCAGGTGAATCCATAGTGGAAAGTAGGGGGTCGAGGTTCGCACATCCGACTCGTTTTCACAACCGTGCTGCGCCTGCGGAGACGAGAGAATCTGAACCCAAACCCATCAGATCTTGTCACCGTAGGCGTCTTCCGGGCAGCAGACCACCCCCTACCGGACCCCTTTACGCGTAGGCTTGTACCCTATTCGACACCGTGGTCGCAGCATTAGAAATCTCTCCCTGTTACCAAAAAAGCTCACATAGCCATGCAGATCGCACAATTGGCAGCCCGTGGCCTCCCCGCCCTGCGGACCAACGTCCTTGTGCGTGCAGCGCCCCACAGTGAGTGGATCTGGGGCCTGCCCACCGTCCAGACAATCCTGGCTCCTTGGCACGGGATATCAGGAAGCGCGTGCAGCCTGCCGGTGCCTGTTTGACGTTCAAGTGAAACCTTTCCCGCCAAACACTGCCTGCAGGCCCCAAAACCTTCCGGCGTGCCGATGTCAGGACATACGCTGGCCGTCCCGCGCGCAAACAGGTGGACTTTGACACATTCCTGGCGGACACAGCCGACAAATTCGAGAAGGTGGGGTGCCATGTGTCTGAGCTAGGGTTGGATGGTACAGCACACGGCAGGGCAGATGAGGTCTCAGCTGTCGCTCGGGCATGCATCCCATGCAGGCACAGAACAAGCCAGCCATCATTGGATATGGTGTGGGAGGTAAGTAAATGTTCAAAGTAGAGCTTCATTCTATGACTTGATTGAAATGTGGCTCCTCTTCCCACTGTCATCAGTTTCGACCAGCCCCTCCAGCGGGAATTTCCTCATACCCCTCAAACCGATCACAGCGTTCGTCGCGGTCTGGTTTGCGGAGTGGCTGATCCACCTTCCACTGTTCAACGTGGTATGCACAGGAGTGGTGGGTTCACGGTGCATGTTGCCTACATGTTTTCTATGCATGTATGTGTGGATGCATCAATGGCTTACCAGTGATCCAACACCCCCCCCCCCCCTACAGCTGCTTGGCTTCCCGATTCAATTCCTGGGGCTGGTAAGAACACTCCCATTTACGTCTGGGAGGAGGTGTTTGGGATGCCGAGAGATGAATCATGTAAATTTACACAGGCATGGCTGATCCGCCCACCCCATGCTCAATGCAGGCTTCTCTTCCTTACCTGTACATCAAGTATGTTCAGGAGGGACAGGACTACATCAGTGATGCTGAAGAAGTCGTCAAGAAAATCACGAAGCAGCTGCCGGGACTGGACAAGTGACCCTGCCGTGACGATGTTTCGTGAGCGACGTTGTGACGTCGCATGCCGAGCTGAGTGCTGATCGTCGACACACGCGGTCGAGACCCTTCAATCCTGAGATTTGTCGCTCCCTGAGATTTTATGTCTGCGCCTGCCTGACATTTGAAACATACCCCGGGAAAAATGTCAGCGATGCACTCGTAGCTGAGAGGATGGATAAATAGGTGCCACCCAACCGATGTGCTCTCGCTCGGGGGCCGATGACCCCACTCGTCCTGTTTGCGCTCGCCCTCTGTATTTTCCACGGATCGGAGTTCGCTCTGACATTCTATTACAACCGTGAGCACATCTCACGACGATGTGGGTCGAGCACCCCGCATTGGAGCGTTCGGTGTGCATGAACGCCTGCAGCTCTGCTCATGCCATCAGTGCTGGAAAGTGATAGAGTTGCACGTAGGGTCCCTACATCAGATACCCCCCCCTCCCCGTTTCAGCATGGCTCTTGAGCTGGCCCTACTGCATTGCCATGGGCGCATCCCTGGTCGAGGATGGCCTGGAGAGGACCCTCATGCCATCGCTGAAGACAGGCACGCTGACCACCCGGCTAGGCCTCCTCATGATCGTGGCGGGGGAGGCCCTCCGCAAGACTGGCATGGTGAGGGTCCTAGCTGCTGCTCCTGCACAGGAGAGATGATCTGAAAGGGCGGGTTGCATGCCTGCGCACCCTGACCGACCAGCCCTTTCACCCTCTTGAAATATGCGGCAGGTTACGGCGACGCACAACTTCACGCACGCCATTGCCAGCCAGAGGACTGAGAGGCACCGCCTCGTCACCCACGGCGTGTACGGATACATGAGGCACCCTGGCTATGCGGGGTGGGCCCTGTGGGCCATCGGCACCCAGGTCCTGCTGGCAAACCTCGTATGCACTCCAGCATTCCTGGTCGTGGTGGGTGACTGAAGGGGGGAGGGCATCAGGAGGGGGCCGTCGCTCACGCCTCAACGATGCTTCCCTCATCCTAAACCCAAGCCCTGCCGGCCTCTCCCCATCCCGGCCCAGGTGTGGCGATTCTTCAGGTCCCGAGTCGAGTACGAAGACGCGCTTCTGCTGTCCTTCTTCGGGCAGCAGTTCCATGAGTACAAGGCCTCGGTGCCCAGTGGCATCCTGGGCATCCCCTGAACTTGACCCCTGTTGGTGGCACAGGAACTGAAGGGCCGGCGTCCAGGATGCATTTTGTGGTCCATCACCGAGATGATGTTAGGGCCCAACCTACCCCTGCATCAACTGTTTTTGTACCCGGGGGCTAGTGCTCAACTTGGACGAATCGGGGTGTTGACAAGGCCGGAATTGGGCAGCCCTCAGTGGAAAGGCAGGTGAGAAGGAGTGCACCAGGGGCAGCAGAGAGTGCTGACGAGCCACGAGGGGGGGAGGGGGGCAGGATACAGCTCGCAGCGGGGGTAGCAGGAGGGCGCATGGGGGCTGGGCACGACTCGGCCAAAACAATGTGATGACTCATTCTTTCTTTCTTCGCAAAACCAAAATGCATCAAGAGGAAAGTGCAGCGCAGAGGCGGGCCCTACACCTCGGTGAAGTCCTTGGCATACTCCTGCCACGTCTGGCTGTCTGGCCGGTGCGCCGCGCCTGCTGGGGGTGGGGGCAGCCGCGAGCGTGAGGGCATGGCACGAGGGGGGGCGTGATCGGCTGACCCCTTGATTGGACGAGGCTTTTCCCTCCCCTCGCCACCCGCTCCACCACGACCGCCCCTTGGCCCTCACCTGGTCTTCGGAACCTGAAGACCTTGGACAGGAGCGACTCCTCCTTCTCCTCCACCGCCACCTGGGGTGCGGGAGCCGGCCGCTCATCCAACTCCAGCACACCTATGGCGCACAGGCGGCGGAAGCTGGGGGCTTTGGTCCATGCTCGGCTGATGCGCGATGACCCCGCATGGATCTTGGAAAAGTGAACTATCGTGCACTGCGAGCGAGTACCGCCCACGGGCCCGCGAGCTTCCCAGTCCAGCAGTAAGCCACCCACCTGGTGCCATCCTCTGCTGCAGCTCCTCGGCGAATCTGAGGAAGTCGGCAAATGCCTGGCCCACGTCCTGTGTCTGGACCTTGTCCCGTGCAGGTAACGAGGGGAAGACGGGCGTGTCGGAGAGCCTGCATGGGTCGAAAGCGAATCCCGTCAGCGATGTTGTCCACTTCGCCACCGGGGGTGGACCACTGGGTTAGGGACGCAGAGTGTGGGGTGACCCAGCACAAACATGGTCGCACACAGAGGGCTAGACTCTGCATCCCACCGTAGTCCGAGGTCAAGTGTCGGGGCGGCATCGCCGTAGGCGGTGACCTCCTGCTGCTGCTCATCGGTTACCGGTGGCCTGCCCGGGGGGGTCGCGAGAGGTTATGTTGATGCGTCAGCCAGCCTCAGGTTTGCCATCGAGGCCCCGTCCCAGCACCCCTGTACCTCTCCCTCACCTTCCAGGACAGTTCATGAGCCGTTTATGGAGTTTCACGCAGCGCTTCACGGGTTGGCCGGACTCGGGGTGGGGCTCGGTGTGGCACTCGAGCTGGGTGAGGAAGGTCCAGGAGCACCCCGCGGCGGGTGAGGCATTCCGGCACAGCTGCGCCGTGGGTCTATCCCACCAGGGCGTCCATGTGCGGGAGCTGGACTCCTCCATGTCCCAGGGCTCGACAGCAGGGCTTCCGATAGTGTCACGGATTCGGCGTGAATCGGCCCCCTTGTCCTGAGGCTGTATTCCGCGGGTCTCAAAGCTCCTGGGTGCCTCGGTACATCTAGAAAGGTGTGGGGTTGCATCTGGGGATGACTCACGGCTCGTGTGTCAGCAAGAAATCCACGAGGGCGGGAGAGTTCGAGGAGCCACTTCGAAGCCTGGATTCTGAGGCACCGCGCCACACGAGATCCGCCCGGGACTTCCGTTTATCACCCATCATTCTGCATTCTATCGCACAGGGTGTCAAGTTACTGAAACAGCGATTGTCAGGGCAAGTCCTCAGTCTCAATGGACAAGAGCGATCAGAGGGTACCGTATACTTCTGCGCCACCATGTGTATCAGGCGACATTGATGGGCGTGCTGCACGCCGCAAACCCGGGCAGGACGTCACCGAGGGGCAGCATGGCGCCACCCCCCGCAGCGGGGGTAGTCGCCCCCGTGAGGGGCGTGGCGGAATGCACCCGCTGCCGCTCCCTCTCCTCTGCAAGTTCGGCCGGCGACGCCGGCACCGGGGCAGTCGGGGCTGGCACCGTCTCGCAGGCCGGCCGCGGGCCCGCAGCAGGTGCCAGCGGCGTCCCCGTTGCCACCGTCAGCGGCACCCGGCCCTCGTCCTCCAAGCCCAGTAGGGCACGCGTGGGGTCCTTGGCGCTGCCGACACCCCCTCGCACCGCCTCCCTAGGACCCGGCTGATCCTCTCCCCCAACCCCCTCCACCGCGGCCTGCACCAGCTCAGCCACGACGGCGGCCACCTCTCGCGCGACGTGCTCACCCTCCACCGCAGCCACGATGCCGGCCAGCACCGCCGCCACCGTGTGCACGGCCGGATCGGGGCGAGCGTGCAACGTGTGGTGGGCGGCGGGGGCGGCGGTGCCCGGCAGCGTCTTCCACAGCACCTCCGTCCCGGGGAACACCAGGATGTGCAGCTGGTGGCGGTACAGGCGCAGCGCCTCCTCCGGCATGTGTGCCATGCCAAAGCCGTGCTGCCATGTTAGCACCGTCTCATGCGCGGCGGGCAGCACCAGGCGGTGCACCCCCGCATCCGCCAGGAAAGCGCAGAAGGCGTCCACCAGCACACGGGCGTGGCCCTGGCGCCGCGCCGCGAAGCGTGTGGCGATCAGCGGCAGCTCCGCCGCGCCGGGGCCAAGCACGCGCACGATGGCCGACACCACAGGCTTGCCCTTTTTTGGTGGGGGTGGGGGGGCGAGGTGAGCGGTGGGTGGCTGCGGTGAGGCGGGAGTCGTGGCTCACCCACCTGATTGACTGGAGTCGATGCCGACGGCAACCCAGAGGATGAAGTCTGGCCTATGCCTCCCAGCAGGCCCCACTTCTCAGCTCCCTCCCACTCCCCTACCCAGCCACATCGACCTCTCGACCTGCATTCCACAATCCCCCCCCCCACCCCTTCACACACATACGCTCTTGATCACCTTGTGCCGGAGGAGCAGTGTGTGCATGCCTTTATAGTCCCACTCACGGTGGCTGCGTGCATGCAGCATGAGCGGCAGCAGGTCCGCCCCCGTGACCATGTCCACGATGGGGTCAAAGGACTCCTGCAGCACCTCCTGCGCGGCGCGCAGGGCCCAAGCGCTGGCTACGCGGCCGTCCTTCCCTCGCAGCACCTGCCAGCTGTGCTGCGGGTGCCCCGGGATGTCCACCACGCCCTCCTCCACCCGGGCGCGCAGGCGGGCATGGATGGCGCTGCACTCCCCGCTGCAAAACCACTCGCCTGCAAGGGGAGGAGGGGGGGGGTGGGAGGGAGGGGGGGGTGGGGAGGGAGTGGGGGGGGTTGGGGAGGGAA